GTTCCCTGCTTCGCAAACTCAAATAAAGAAAGTGATGGAACGCTTTGAATCCTAGCGAGTGGATCCTTCTTCTTTGAAAATTCTAAGTCGGTTTGCAAGTAAGGTTTAGATTGAGCCTTGTCCTTGTCAAGTAATTGAAGATTATTTCCCAGAAATACTTTTTCAAACAACCTGAAATTGGTATTCAGCAAAATAAAAGTACCTAATGACGAATAAGACGTAAAGTGCCGAATTATATGGGCGTTCAAATATTATAAGCTCGATTAGTTTTATGGCATTAGGGAATATGATTTATTCGGCTATAAGTTGTTGGACTTATCTAACTATTTTGTTCCGACCGCCAGAGCCCACTTTAGTTCCACGTAAAACTCGGATCTATACGATTAAAGATTTCATCCCTCGATATTGGACGATCGTAATATTTTAACGATACCCGACCCTGCAGCAACTCCTTTGTTTGACTGCCCTTATTTTATTATTTATCGAAACATTTGATATAAAAGAGCCATTATTTACAATTTTATGCGATAATTTATCACCCTAACCTGCAAATAACAGTTGTAGCACTTTGAAAAAATATCAAACACTTTCACGACACATGTGCGATGAAGTGAGTCCTAATAAATTGTCCTAATTTTTACGACATAACTTTGATATATTCAGTGCCTATTATTGCATAGTACCTACAAATAGTTTGTAAAATGAGATGTGAAATATTTTTTTAGGTTTATGAAATGTAGATTCGTTATGACAATTTCCTAAAAGCAACGAGAAGACATAGAACAACTGAAGAATACTGAAACAGAAGAAAGGTATATGATTGGTTCTCTATTAACTTGAAAGACAATTTGAAACTGCTGTAAGAACAAATATAATTTAGCTCATGAAGTATCATGGACGTTTAATTTAACGACAGCATCCCCATCATATAGATGGTTGGCAGGCCACAACTGTGCGCTTATCAGCCGCTCACATAGCTTTCTGCCTCGCACAGCAAAACTGTGGAATGATCTGTCGTCAGCGGTATTTCCGAACCTTTTTAAAAGGCCGGCAACGCACCTGTGACTCCTCTGGTGTTACGAGTGTCCATGGGCAGCGCTGATCGCCTACTATCAGGTGATCCATCTGCTTGTTTGCCTCCTATACCATTTAAACATGTAAGTACAGAGGAAGACAGAAAAATACTGAATAATGACTGCAAAGTATTGAAACGTTTAAAGGAATGTTTTGAACGTTTCACTAGAGTATTTTGATAAGCTGGATTGACGTCTATAAAAAGAAATAAGAACAATCTGGTAGAAATGAATGTACCTATTTCGAAAATCATTCATTAGATATTGGAAAGTCTGCAGTCAAAGTGTACAATAAAGGTTGATGATACGTTGGCGACTACCCCCGTTGTTCTCTGAATAACGACTGACTGTTACAATTTTATTTTTTAGGTATCACTTTGACTCATTAATTGAGAATGATGAGAATAAAAAACATTGTAACCTGATAGATAATGAATGAAGAAATCAAATCAACAAATTAAGTGCCATGCTTCGACATGAATGGGCCGGTTCGACCGGAGTGATACCACGGCCTCAAAGAAGACCGACGAGAAACAACGTTGTGTTGTGTTTCGTCGTGTGAGTGAGATTACCGGAGGCCGAATTACCAAATTAATAATCCGCAATAGTAATGCCTAAATTCACGTGTGGCCTGTGCTTGAGGTCATATTCCAATTACAAGCATATGTTGGAGCATATGTATTGGCGACACGGGACGGAGAGCTTTTGGTGCAAGCAGTGCACAGTAAAGCGCTGGCGACACGCTCCGCATCTTTGTCACGTGTTGCCGATAGATGTGACCGACAATGACTTGAATTCGGAATCCCCGACACAAGAAATGCGTGAATCAGAGTATTGCTATTGCGGAAAAGACATCCCCGATTCGCCGATGATAGGCTGTGATGGACCAAATTGTCAATTCAATTGGTTCCATTACTCCTGGGTCGGCGTAATTACGGCCCCAGAAGGAGACTGGTTTTGCCCAACATGCATAAAATTAAAAACAAAAAAAGGTATATTTTTTTCATCTGAATCGTGTGTTGAAATGTTAAAAGAAGTTTGAGAAATATACTTTCTTGAGAAATATAATATATATTCAACATACTGAAAATAACAACTTTCTGACAAATATTTTTTCCTTTTTACAGGTTAATCCAGCTGAGCTGAAGTAAAAAAATGTGACACTGAGTTTGAAGAAAACCTCGAAGCAGGCTGTTAGAAGAAACACGGGTAAGAGTCATGTTTTTCTTATTCAATATATAGAAATAGTAGGTAGCATGACAAACTTAATACATGGTCTCAATTTACTTTATATGTATAATAAAACGGCAGCGTTGTTTTCGGATAACCTACCAATTTATACAATAGAGAAGATGACTAATTTTTATTTTATTGTCCGTCTGGTAGATTATTTAAAAACATTAGACACGTATTTTTTATTTTCTTACGGTAACGAATAGTTTCGAAGATATATTGATTTGAAATATCGCAACAGTCACTATTGAGTACGATTTATAGGTACTGTAAAATGACGTAGCTACCTCCCACTCTAAGTATTGTTTTCTTCTACGACAATATGAAAAAATACGTTTCTAATATTTTTTTCATTGCCTAACTGACGGACTAATTACATTTTTAATATCCATAACCCTATCATCATCCCTATTAAAGTACGAGGACTTATTCGGTTATACATAGTACATAGTAGTCCACTAATATTACATTACATTATAGACCTTATTTCCAATGTTTAGAGACTACTTTTAGGGGATGGATTTCAACGGATTAATAGGATTCGTTTAAAATTGTTTCGTTTTTTTCTTTGCAGGAACGAGATCACTCCGGCGGTTGCAGAAAATATTATAAAATCAAGTTTATTATTGTTATGTTATATATTCAAAACTGAAAAAATGTTGACATGTTTTGCAAAAATAATATGATTTTATAAAATTTTTTTTTTTTTTTTTTATAAAATGGATAGACATATTACATCATCAGCCCAAGACAGTCCTTACGAAGCCGCGGAAGACTTAACTTGCCGGGGCTCCGGCTCGAAGAGCAAGAGTAGTAACGGGGTGGTTTTTAGTCAGTAAGAGTCTGACACTCTCCCCCGCCTCACCCGGGCGGGAGAAGACATTGGATGATTTTCCCCCTCAAAAAAAAAGCCCAAGACAGTCCACTGTTGGAGTAAAACTAAATTGTGCTCTAATACCATGATACAGTTTTTAATAAAAGTTAATATGTACAAAAATAAATATATTTAAACAGATTACCATCAGACCACTATAGACTAATGGTGGAATAATGGAATAATTGCATTACATCGTTAGGGTTCTATAACGACACTTATAATATAATTATTAGATATTATAAGTAGAATCTGTTTTTAGACATGTAAGAGCACGGAGTCTGGAATAGGGTGGTAGACAGTGTATGAAAATTAAAAATGTAATTAGTCCGTCAGTAAGATAATGATGACTGCCTCGTTGGCCGAGTGATCGCAAGTGCGACTACCGGGCAAGGTTCGATTCCCGGGTCGGGCAAAGTAATACTGGGTTTTTTAAAAAAAGCGGGTGTTACATTGTATAGTGGCATAATGTACACCTCTGCGTACCCCTTCGGGGGTAAAAGGCATGTTGTTATGTTAGATAATGATAAAATGTTGGACACATATTTTTTATTTCGTCGTATAAGAAAACAATACCTAGTTAAAACGGAGTTAAGTTTAGAAGTGAGAGGTCGTTACGTCACGCTACTCTGTAAAATGTAATAAATAGTGACGTCACTCGATATTTCAATTCAATATATCGTCGAAAGTATTAGTAGTAAGAAAAGAAAAAATACTTTTCTAGATAATGTTTTAAAATAATCTACCAGACGGACATTAAAATAAAATTTAGTCTACTACTTACTTTCCTTACTGTATAAAAATAGGCTCTCCCCCTGTTACAATGGTCAATAAGATAATTGGCGATATGGGATATTGTATGTTACTTTAAACCGAAATCTAACTTAGGCGGGACTGAAACATTATAACCTCATTTTTGTTTCTATTATATTATGTATTATGAACGCCCATAAATGCTCATACCACACGTACTAGCTTAATTTGGTCCACTATAGGCTCATATCTACCGCTGTCATATTACATTAGCAGACATATATATCGACATAATAAATACGAAAATAAACGTAAATATAATAATATCATTGTCATCTTTGATACAAATTATTTGTGATACTCACCCATACTGTACAATATGGGTAAATAATATGTTGGTACGTGCTCGAAAGTAAGACACGTCTTAGTACATTCGTAATGACTTGATATACTGTTTCCATTACACGCCGAGGTCATTAGTGTATTGTTCTTTAACGTCTCATTCATAATTATGTCTTTATCTGTATGGATCCGAATGCTGATCTATGAAAAAGACGTTCACCTAAGGATCGAGGTGGTCTGATGTTCCTTTACATCGTCATCACACATCATTTTAAAGGTAAGTGCCCACTGCTGAGAAGAGGCCTCTTCTCACAAGAAGTTAGTGGGCTTCACTCAGCAGTCTGCAGTTCGGGAAATCAAAGACATTTTTAATTTTCTTTTATATTCTTTGTTAGTAGTTTTTAAGTATTATAATTTTAAATGTATTATATTTGTAATACAGTGATTTTTTTCATAAAAAAATACATTAATAATTTATTTAATTAATAAAATATTTTATCATTGCTTATTCGAACAAAACAAAATTTTGTAACAACTTATTGATAAATGTTAAATATGTTATAACACTTAAAAAAATTCTAATTTAACGACGTTGATTCAATGGAAACGTGCCGACAATGCTCGCTGCATCAGCATTTGCAGAAATCATTTATAAATATAAGTGTATCGTAAATATAGCACGTAATCAAACAAGTAGCTTCAACAACAGATAAAAATGTCAGAAAATGGAATTCCGAGCATGGCATTACATGATTTTTTACTTTGTGTTTATTAAGTGTAAGTGTTAATTTCGTGTGAATCTAGTTGTAAATACTAGCAAATATCTTCAATAGACTTTCGACTTTATTACAAACTGATAAAACTCAAAATCTATTGAAGACATTTGAGTATTGAAACTAATATAAAACATTATTGCATTGTGATTTCAGATCTGGAAGCGAAAACGATTTCCTTGAACGAGCTGATTGCCGCAGAACTGCAGCAGAAGGAAGCCTTCGAGACGACATTTCCACCTAAACCAGCAGGTAAGTGAACTTTACATTGTGGTATGTAATTCAGGTAAGTGATTTAATAATAATGCACGGTTGGCGCGGTGGCTGGGCAACTGGCTGCCGCGCAACATGTCGCGGGTTCGATTCCCGCATGGAACAAGTCTTTGTGTGATCCACAGATTGTTGTTCCGGGTCTGGGTGTCATGTGTTTGTGATATTGTATGTTTGTAAATGCACCCACGACACAGGAGGAAATCCTAGTGTGGGGCAACGTTTTATAAAAAAAATAAAATAATCATGAACTAATGGGAGAAGCGTAACCATGGAGTTCTGTCGCGGAGAACCTAACGGGTAACCGGGGCTCCGGCTCGACGTGCAGGAGAAGGAACGGGGTGGTTTTTAGTCAGTAAGAGTCTGACACTCCCTTCCGCCTCACCCAGGCGGGAGCAGTCATTCGATGATTTTCCACCCTTAAAAAAAAAACCATGGGGTTCTGTCCATGGGAATCTACACATAGGTATGTAGGTATGTACAATAGCTTTTTACGAGAGCAGTGACTATTCGACAACAGCTAAGGGAGTAATTATTTTAAACCTTAGGCCCATTCAGGTAATTGCTCGATTAGTATAGTGGCTGGGCAACTGGATGTGGCGCAACATGTTACGGGTTCGATTCCCGCACGAAACAAATCTTTGTATGATCCACGAAATAGTAGTTCCAGGTTTGGAGTCTGCACCAAATTCCAGTAACCTATTATTAAATGTGTGTGTTAATTAATAGACAATCCTGAATTGGAAATCGATGTAAAAACGTGTCATATTGAAAGCGAGCATAGTTTTAAACACTATAACAATTTTAGACCCCATGTTGTTAATGAAACTTTCGAAAATTCCACTGGCAAATGCTACTACGAGCCGCGAAGAACCTAACGGGTTACCGGGGCTCCGTCTCAAAGTGCAGGAGTAGGAACGGGGTGGATTTTAGTCAGTAAGAGTCTGACTAAAAACCACCCGCCTCACCCAGGCGGGAGAAGTCATTCGATGATTTTCCCCCCTTAAAAAAATGCTACTGCGAATCCCGCGGTTTGATTTCTGGGTTGAGAATTTGTGATATTGGGTTTTTACCGTTTTCGCACAGTCTTTTTTTTAAGGGGGGCAAATCATCAAATGACTGCTCCCGCCTGGGTGAGGCGGAAGGGAGTGTCAGACTCTTACTGACTAAAAACCACCCCGTTCCTTCTCCTGCACGTCGAGCCGGAGCCCCGGTTACCCGTTAGGTTATCCGCGACTCCGAATCGGCATCGGCCCTATTGGGCCCCATCTGTGGTGGTCTGATAGCTCTTTAAGGCGCGCGCGGAACGCGACGCGCCGTACGCTCGGGTCTGTTTCTGGTCGGACGGGGAGCCACCCATGCTCGCCGTCCGCAGGCCCGCGCTTACGGTGGCCGGAGATCGTCCCGCGATCCCCGACGCCCGGTGTGTCCTTCGCGATGGCTGGGTTGCGAGGAGGCAGCGCTTCCCTGCCTCGCGCGTCCCGCCTCCTCCTTAGCTAGCATGACTGCTTCGCAAAAGGAGGAGACGGCATCCCAGTCCCCCTCGCTCCGCATCATGGCCTGCACAAGGCCCGGACGCGAGAGGTCGCCATCGCCGATCACTTCCCTGAGGGCACGGCGGTGCTCAGCCCACGCAGGGCATTCCGCTACGGTGTGTTCCACCGTGTCCTCAGGGCGGTCCTCGCAGTGATGACACCCGGGCGTTTCCTCCCGCCACATCAGACACAGGTACCTCCCGAAACTTCCATGTCCGGTGAGGACCTGCGTCAGGCGGTAGGTGAGGACGCCATAGCGTCTCTCAAGCCACTCCTCAAAGTGGGGTCTTACCGCTGCAATGGCAGCGAGCCCAGCCCTCGGTTGCGACAGTCGTTGCTACCATTCCGCCATGAGATCGCGCCGGAGCTCATCCCGCCACGCACTTATCTGGCGCGGCAGCGGAGTTTCGCCCCGGCGACGTGCCTCCGCGCGCATGCGATACACGCGCGCGAGCACCTTCGCCTCCAGATCCCACGGCGGTAATCCGGCAAGGAGGTTCGCCGACTCCCCGGAGATCGTGCGGTATCCGCGGATCATTCGAATCGCCATGACCCTCTGTGACATGAGCAGCGTCCGAGCGGGACGCCGCAGCATGTTCGGCGCCCACACAGAGGCGCCGTAGAGGGCCATGGACCGCACGACCCCGGCGTATAACCTCCGGCAGGAGGCATTTTGGCCCCCCGAGGTTGGGGAGGATGCGTTTGAACGCAGCCCCCGTCCTCTCCAACTTTGTTTTCGCACAGTCTAGGAATTGTGGCAGGTAGATGAAAATAGCCTCATTCAACATACGAGGCTTACGTCGTAATTAGTGAAAAAGACTCGACTTCACACCACTCGAACGAGGCAGAAAAAATAATAACTACGTGGAGGTAATTGTCAATACCAAGCTTACAAAAAGGCATATTTATAGAAAACTAATAAGTTCTAATTATCCCCAGTCTTTGTAAACAAACTCCCACCCAAATGAGATCGAGTATCACCACGATATCAGTTATCACTGTTTTACTATTTATAATAATCTAATTAAAACTATCTTCTCCATTTTTAAGGTGATTCGATCAATAGATCTATGTTTTTATTATTAAGCTGATCTGATAAAATATGTATACTATCGAGTATTCGCAAGCGCGATACACCAACAGGGAGTCTCAGGTTCGATTCCTGGGTCACTATGGCATTAATGGTTAACGTAAATATTATGACGGATAACTCAACTGCCTATCTAGACTGCCTCGTTGGCCGAGTGGTTGCAAGTGTGACTGCTCCGCAAGGGTTCTCGGGTTCGATTCCCGAGTCGGGCAAAGTATTAAAAAAGGGTTATTAAAAAATTCTCAGTGTCTGGATTTGTGCCCGGTATATGGCAATAAGCTATAAGCACTCCCTATTACATGGGACTCGTAACTTAAATAGTAAAAAGTGGGTGTTACATTCAGTGCCCTAATGTGCACCTCTGCCTACCCATTCAAGGATAAAAGGCGGGATGTTATGTATAACTTAACTGGCGAAAATTACATAAGTTTACATTACACCTAAGGGGCAGAAAGTAGGTACCTAGTTGTTATGTAATAGCTAGGTACTTTCTGCCCCTTCAATCTTCAATCACTTCGCAAAATTAAAGCGAAATAATAAAGATCATGTGAACTTAGTTCATAAAATATGACGCTGCGCTATTACTACTCAAAGATGTAAGATATAAATTGAGAGATAGGTTCCTCTCTTACCATACCTTACCTACCTAAGAAGATAGGTACTTTCAACCAGTTAAGTTATTCAGCCTAATGCAACACACTAGGCTGCAATGCAACTCGCAACACTAGTGTCACATCTTCATGGCAAATACATACATACCTACTTTATTATCACCTAGGTATTTAAATATTTATGTAAATTAATAGTAATTATAAAAATGTTCTTTTGTTTCAGTAATCACGCGCAAACGTCCCTATCTCATTAAAGCACCAAGACCTTTTGCAAGGATAAAACAAATTCTAGACTCCGGTTTATCTATAGGTGAGTGCACCACAAATCTTAAAAAACTTACAATGTGCATGTTTATGTTAAAACTTTCGTGAGACATACTACCTAATTAGGAACTCGACTGGTTTCAAACCATGCCAGAGGCTTATTTATTTTATTTATTTTTAAAAAACGTTGCCCCACACTAGGATTTTCTCCTGTGTCGTGGGTGCGTTTACAAACATACAAGTTCACATACACATGACACCCAGACCCGAAACAACAATTTGTGGATCACACAAAGTGTTGTTCCGTGCCGGAATCGAACCCGCGACACGTTGCACGGCAGCCGGTTGCCCAGCTACCAACCGTGCAGTCGTAAATTCCTATCTGCTAATATTACACTATCTACCAACTTAACGTTGTTTTCACTTTTCAGTTAATAAACCATTCGAAGGGAGCATACTATCACCACTCAAATACAAAAAGACATATCTGATCAAAAGTCCACTTAAACCAAAAAAGTTGAAACTGCTACAAAAATCTCGATACAAACATAAAAATCAGTCAACGAAGCGTGAGATTAATGGAAATGAGAAGCTCAAACAAAAATATATTCCACTTCTCAAAAGTCTTAGTATGTTGTTTGATAATCTTCTCAATTCAGACGCAAGCGAGTCTTATGAAGTCAAAACAAAGAAGTTTAAGCGGCATCGATTCTACTCCGAAGAGACATTTGAGGACATCTCTAGTGCAGAACAGCCCAAACCTGAATTTTCAAAAAAATATTCGCAAAAAACGACAGTTACTGTTACCCCGACTACCACCATTGAGGTCTCGGTTACTGCCGAGACTCCCACCACTGCCGCGACTACCTCCACCACAACCGATAATACTGCCACTCGTGACTTCAGCACTATCAGACGGAATAAGAACCTACCCGTATTACTTGCAAGAGATACCTGTAGCGGTCGGCGAAACGATAATGGAATCTGTGAGGGAAGCAGCGCCACACTTCACGGAAACATTGAGGGAAATATCACCAGGCATTATAGAAATCATGAACATGTTTCCCGATGCGCGGAGAATGACTCCTGTACAGAAGATGGTGAAAAGAATACCGACCGTGATACACGAGACAGTGCAAGAAGCTCTGGATTCGCAGGACTTGTCGGAAATCGAAATAATACAGGACTTATACAGCGAGGAAGTGGAACCAATAGTGAAAATGTCTCGAAAATTGAGACCACCGATGACGGCCTTCGAGAAAATCAATTCGAAATTGGAAGAAACGAAACAACGGGCGGAAGAATTCTACAAGAATCTCTTCGAAGATTACGAGGATTCTCCGAAGATATTAACAAAACCACAGAGCCAGTACAATCCAAAGAAGTACATGAAGAAAACGTCAATGTCACACACGATATCGCCAGTTATCAAAGAGTCGCTGACGGAGGTGGCTCAATTGCCAAAGAAAATAAAAAAATTCGTGAAGGAAATGAAAGAATGACGTTGATAGATAGCTTGAACTTGGCAATCAGTTCAAGTACTCCAAAGAAAAAAGCTCCAGTTGTTATGATTTATGATGGGTACAGCATAGCAAGACATAAAAATGGTGAGAACAAATTCTCAGAAAAGTCTATTCGTTTACATTCTTAGTACAAGAACACATTAGTATGTAATTAAACAACGATTGTATTTTGTGAACTTGTTATATTAGAAATAGATAAGAATTTTGTACAAATAAGTATTTTGTAATAAAACAATAAATTTATCTGCGCCCTTTCTTTCCCTTGCCCTTGTGGCTGGCCTGTGCTGCTTGAGGTTGTTGGTCCACAGGTCTGAAAAAGAAAACATAGATAAAATTGTAAAACTAATTTACTTTAAAAAGTTGCACTGTCATTGTAATTTTGATAACCATGTCAGAAGAAAATGCCCTGTAGCTAATTAACATCAATTTGCAATAATCTATCAGGTAGGTAAATTTGACTGTTAGATACAGATATTGAGTTCATATAAAATCCTCTATTAGCCAAATCTACAAAAGTTTATTGAGACTAGCTGTAAGGTATCTTTTTTTTTGTTGGCCTCAGCCAACTTGCTCTGCCTCGTTGGCCGAGTGGTTGCAACTGAGAGTGGCGGGCAAGAGGTCTCGGGTTCAATTCCCGGGTCGAGCAAAGTATTACTGGTTCTTTTTTAAAATTCTCAGTAGTAGCACTGAGTCTGAAATTGTGGCCGGTATATGGCAATAGGCTCACTCCCTATTACATGGGACCCTTAACATAAATAGTGAAAAGTGGGTGTTACGTTGTACAGTAGCATTAAGTGCCGTAATGTACACTTCTGCCTACCCCTTCGGGGATAAAAGGCATGAAGAAGTTATGTTATGTATTTTTCTGCTGTACACCAATAATACAAAGGAATAGGGTAGTTTCCTTAATTTCTAGTCTAGTCTAGTTTCTAACTTCTCCCGCCCGGTTGAGGCAAAAAAGAGTGTCAGACTCTTACTAACTAAAAACCAACCCATTCCTACTCCTGCACTTAGAGCCGGAGCCCTGGCAACCCTTTAAGCCTAAATTAAGTAAACCGCGCACGCTCCTCATGAGCAGCGTGCGCGGTCGAGCGACGCGACGTCGCGCAGCTCACGGCTCACTCAGTGAAGAACCCCTCTGTGGTTCGAAACTAGTAGAGCTTTTCTCAGTATATTCACGTGAGTAACCCGCGATTTTACTTAATTTAGTATGTACGACGATAGTTATTATAAAAACCCTTTAAGCCCTCCGCGGCTATGACAAATTAAGCCTTTGACCTCTGACAGAAACCTGCTGAAGGAAAATCCTCTGCTAACGTAGGTCACCGGTGTTCTACGCAGTGGTTAACATGTTAACTTAACCTACAGACTAATTAGATTAATTTTCACACCCTGGCAACTACCCTATTACCAGAAATTTGAAATGCATTTATGATTTATTCAATAACATTGAATAATTTGTCAAGTAATTATGCTGTAACAATGTTATTAGTAAATTAATTACAATTATTTTGTGTACAATCAACAAAGTATTTGTATATAGGTAAGAGAAATAAAGATTAATTTTATACAGAAAGAGTACCTATTAAACTGTCAAACACCAAGTGGTCACCGGTGACCGCAACCTATTGTTCTTTAATTGTGTCTATAAATACGGTACTGGACGAGTTAATACAGTTACCATTTATGATCAGCTAGGCTTTTCTGTAAATCAATTTTAACTCTATAAGTGAGCTTGATCATGTTCTGGCTCGTCATTAGTCAAGATTATTCTGATATAGAGGTGCATGATCGAGCTCCCTTTGTGAGTACCAATTAACATCTTACAGAACAACAGCTCAGTAACTGACAAATGGTCACTGTGTTTGTAAACCAATTTCTATTTTCTTACCAGTGCACAAATTCCTGTACTGATTATACAAATATTAAAACAATCACCTGTTTTGTCTTGTTTTCAGCTTAGGTATTGATTCGCCAATGTGCTTCATAACAGATTCACGAGTGGGGAACTCAGGTTTAATAGGAGTACCATCATCATTCTTCAACTGTACTCTTATTCTGCCACGGTACAAAATTTCCTGTGAACCAAAAAAAAAATGTATTAGTAAATTATTTGGCAGTGCTATAGACAACCTTCAAAATTATTGTATAAAGACAAAGTTTTGGATTCTGCGGTAGGCTGCCAACAAGGTGATCCTCTTGGTCCAGTCATTTTCAGTCTGGCCATTCACCCTATTATTCGGCAACTTAAATCTAAATTTAATGTTTGGTATTTGGACGATGGAACCCTAGGAGGTGACGCAGACACTGTTTTCCATGACTTACAGCTTTTGATTTCTGAATTTAAATCCATCGGATTAGAATTAAATATTTCTAAATGCGAAATTTACCTTCCGGACAAAATTATCGATAGTCAACAAATTTTAAACACTTTTTCTACCGTAGCGCCGAATTTAAAAATTGTTGATAAAAACTCTCTTCTTCTCCTGGGTTCCCCAATTTTCGAAAACAGTTTCTCTGATTTCATAAACGAGAAAATTAAAAATTTCTGTGACATTTCCGATAGACTTTCCAAAATTAATCTACATTGTGCATTTACTTTAATTCGCTATTGTTGTTTCGGCCCAAAATTTATGTATTTTCTGCGTGCTTCCCCTCTGTGGAAGCATCCGCATATTCTGGACCAAATTGATCAAATTATCCGTGACACCTTAACTTCACTTTTGAATGCTTCTATGGACGATCGTGTTTGGCTTCAAGCCACACTACCAATTCGTTTTGGTGGTCTAGGCGTCCGCAAAATTACCAGTGTAAGTTTACCGGCGTTCATCTCTTCTGTCCACAGCACTAGAACGTTAACAAATAAAATTTTAGCTGGTGTTGACGCTGAACCTGATGTGCCGTGTCTGACCGACGCGATGAACGTCTGGACAGAAACATGTCCCAATACAGCCTTGCCTGTCAACCCTTCCTCCCAGAGACAATGGGACGAGCCGCTTTGCAGGTTGGTGCATAATAATCTAATTAATACCAGCACCAATCCTGCGGAGTTAGCTCGCCTATTGGCTGTGGGTGAGTGGGAATCAGGCCTCTGGCTTCAGGCACTTCCGTCACTCAATATTGGCACGATGTTGAATGACTCAACTTTTCGGCTTGCTGCTTGCTTGCGTGTAGGTGCACCCTGTGTTTCTCCGCATCGCTGTCAATGCGGTGAGATGGTCGACCACCTCGGCCACCACGGCCTATCGTGTAGCAGAAGCGCGGGCCGGATAGCTCGACACGCCAGCATTAACGACATTATCCGCCGAGCTCTTATCATCGCCGGTGTGCCAGCTGTTCTGGAACCAAAGGGTTTGGCACGCGACGATGGTAAGAGACCCGACGGTATGTCCATTATGCCCTGGAAGCTGGGAAGGTCTTTGGTGTGGGACGCAACCTGCGTTGACACCCTTGCACCTTCTCATCTTCCAGTAACGGCGGGTTGTGCTGGTTCGGCTGCTGCCTCTGCAGAAAGCCTCAAGCGGCGCAAGTATAACAACCTTGCTGGTAGTTATATCTTTGAGCCGTTTGGGGTTGAGACGCTAGGTCCGTGGGGTCCGAGTGCACTTAAATTGTTCCAAAACATCTCAAAACGCCTGGTTGACACATCTCGTGACCAGAGGGCTGGTCTTTTTCTCGGTCAGAGGCTAAGCATTGCCATACAACGTGGCAATGCTGCCAGCCTTCTGGGTACTTTCCCCACTGACGTCGATGCGGACGAATTTTTCGACGCTTTATGTAAATAGTTGTTTTTGTTTTTTCTTATAATTAATTTTAATCTTTAGTTGTATATAGGTATTTAATTTAGTAATATTTAGTTTTAATTTATTAGTAAATAAAATTGTTTTAGATTTTTATTTTTTCATGTTAAAACAGTTCTAAGTAAATACAGAATGATTGAAAATTATCTAGATCTACATACTAAAGAGAATTTTGACACAAACTTGATGCTAAATATTAGTATGTCCATATCCTACGCAGTAGCTAAGCCTAATACGAATTTAAATGTAAAATAATTACTTTACTAGGTTCCCTGGGATATAACTTGTTCTCCACTCCCACCCTCAAGCCTGCAGCGACCAGCACATCCCTAATCTCCTGGTGAGTTGGATTTTCCACACAGTGTGACTTCGACAGCTTGCGTCCCTGTGCCAAAGTCTTCTTACTGTTCAAGTAGGCAGGGTAAATACAAATCCATCTGTAAATGCAACGTTTCAAATAAATGTGTTTACCAATTACATTGTAATTTCATAGCGATTAAACGCTAAATAATATCAAGTTCACAATGGGTAAATTAAATATAATGCTTATTTTTGTAAAGTTAGCTTTGGCTACATGCCTTTCCACGTCGCTGTGTTTCTTTTCTGGATTCCATGAACTTATCATAGCAGCCATGACTGTAACTAGGGTTAAGTTAAAAATGAAAATGTAAGTAAGTGTTCTACAATTATATTCAATTCACTAATTGTTTTTCAATAAAAACTTCTGGCTCCAATATACTAAACGAATACATAAATCCAATAGGACAAGTGACACTTGACAATGACATTTACTGTCATTTTCTCACCACGTTCCACGTCAGATGGCATTTGAAGAGCTCGTTTTGAAATTAAATTCGAATGTATTAAAAAAGAGTTTTGTAAATAGCCCCAATCATTACTTTAACTTTAAATTTATCTACTCTTCTACACGTGGATAACTTGAAATGTGGATGTAAAAATAAGAATAGTATTCAATTCAACCCCTGGGTGATGGGTCGACCGCTTAGAATATTTAACCAAGTCGAAAGTCAAATGATATCAAAAGATATAACGATTCTAAAATTATGTTATTTTCAATACGTCATATTCCTTAAAATAATTTATATTTTTTGTTCACATGCGGATGGCTGAATATTTTTAGGAAAAGTACCATAGCCATATTTGTCTAAAGGTTTTTCTACCTGCAAAAAGAACAGAGTCCAAGACCCAAGACATCAAACGTCATTCAAATTAAAAAGTAAAATCAATAATTAATCAAATCAAACTTAACCTCAACAAAACCTGAAGTTGTCTTCAGTTTCAACTAATTTAATGTTAAAAATCTATTAGTGCCTTAGATTTGTAGAAGCAAAACTGGAACAATGTCACTACTAACAGCAACGCATAAATATCTCGCAGTAGGGAAAGAACTTAGTGTTGACTTATATGACCATTCCAACCACAAACTTATTGATATACCTGGAACACCGAATCTAACTGAAAAAGATTACATATCTGATATTGCAATTTCTTATGATTCTAATCATTTGGCTGTCATAACAACAACTTCAAAGAAATTGCTAATTTATGGCTTGCCCCAAGGGGAACTTGAACAAACTTTTAACATACCGAGAAGTGCCAGTAGAATAAGATTCACAGTTGATAATTTACAGATATTGGTGGCTGATAAAAGCGGCGATGTGCTTATTTATGACATTAAAAAAGAAGAATCAGGTATAAAACTTCTAGGTCATTTAAGCTTACTATTGGATGTTTTACAATCAAATGATACAAAATGTATCATATCGTGCGATAGAGACGAAAAAATAAGGGTGTCCTGTTATCCCAATACCTATAACATCCAAACATATTGTTTAGGCCACAAAGAATTTGTCAATCACATAGAGTTTTTGCCCCACAATGATAAGTTCTTAACTAGTTCCTCAGGAGATGGCACTATTAAAATATGGGATTATAGTGAAGGGAGGTTGGTGCATACAATTGACACTTCACATGATGTTCATGATGATCAATTGAGACAAAATTTCATTAACATTATGGATGAAGGTGGTATTGAAGTTAACACTTTGCCGATTGTGCATTATACAGCATCGAAGATAAATGAAAATATAAGTGTACTGGCTACGACTGTACACACTTATAATGCAGTTCTTATTTATACTGTGACTAATGTTGATAACCAATACAGTCACAAATTGGAAGAACGAGTGAGACTCCAACAATTTCCAGGCGCAATAATACTTCACAATAAATCACTTTTTGTTTATAGTGATTCAGAGAACAGTATTATTGCATATAAGTTGGAAGAGAATAATGGAAGTGTTTCTGTTGAAGAAACAAATAGAATAAACATGTTTGCAGATAAAAATATTAACCCTGACACCGAAGAAAACCAGTTAGAATCTATCAAAGTTTTGTATAAAAGGAAATTTGATAATGTTCAAGAATACCAAGAAAGAAAAAAGCAGAGACTCGAAAAATTGTCCAAATAATGATTATAAATGTGAATCAAATTATTAAATAAAAGTTGTTGACAAGTTATTTATACTCTTATATTATTGTAGATCCAGTTGAAACTTAGACCTTCCAATATTAATGCATGAAGATTGAAGATACATTTTGCTTAAAGATTAAAATAAGATAAGAATACCGATATATTCCTAAACTCCTTATTTTCCGGAAAGTATCCATATCAAAAAATGACCACTCTGAGCTCCTTGGCGTAACTCTGGCGTTATAAGTAGGTATATTCCGTCGTCTGTCACATCGCTTACTATCTAACAAGTTGGTGCCCAAACGTTCACCTAAGGTATAAAAAATGCTACTGCTATACCTACCGGCGCCCAACACGGTGACTTTAAGTACCTACCTGCGTGCTTTTACTTATAACTACAAATCTTCTAATTTTATTAGACCCTAGAAATAACTTTTACTTGTGTGCCTAATGGACTAATTTACTTTATACGGGTAGGTAGTTAACTTGAGAAGTTTATTAACTAGTGATTGAAGATAGGTAGGTACATTATCAAGTATTAGTAGTAAAACGAGGTGAATGACAATCAAGAAGCGAGAAGGGTGGATAGGTATTGGGAGAATTTCCCAATACCTATTCACCCTTCTACACACCTATTAAGTAGGCTACTATCTATTCTCCCGTCTCTTCAATTTTCGGTTCACTTTCACCCCGTTTTATCGAACTGCTGTAAGACAGAAAGTAGTTCCGGTTCAGGTAATCAAGGACTGTGGAGAATTTTATAAACCACAGATAACACCTAGTTAAAAATACAGTGTGCACACAAGTATTTGTAGGTTAATTACATAAGATATAATAAAAGCATAAAATCAACCAGGTAATTATTTATTATCTTTGTTACAATTCAAACAAGAAATGTGAAATGTGCAAGTCTTATGGTTTTACAAAAATAAATGAACCTAAGTATATTCAACATTAGTTAAGCTAACAAGTCAATCTAAGCCAATTTTAATACAAAAAACAAGAAACCTCAAAATTACAATATCACATTTTAAATAAACACAACAAGGCATGTATTTTATATTAAAGTTTATAAACTAAGTTATAAGATTCTGGTACATTTAATACTTATTGCTTTTGAAGAGCAAAGTTCAACCTGGCAAAAGATTCAAGAAGTTCATCGAACTTTGATATATTTTGTATCACTATAATAATACATATTTAAGTAAGTAACTAGTTTTTACAATCGCTTTTAAATCTAAATGCAATAAATACATACAATCTGGATCGTTTACATAATTTACCTAGATTTAAGCACGTTAGCGAAATTACGGAGCTGAGAACCAAGATTGTCAATTTCATTCAATACACTGTCAACTTCATTTTTCAGTTCCATTAAATCAGGCAAATTGTTACAATCCGGAACATTTAGTAGTGTTGTGAATATCTTGTCCCATAACCCAACCTTCATGTATCTGAAAAAAAAAAACAAAGATAAGCAATCAGCACCGCTTATGCACAAGATCAGAGGAGTTCGTAAGTATGTTACCGGCCTTTTTTTAACCCATACATAACATACGCATTAAGTAAGTCATGGGCAGAGCAGTATACATTAAATAAGAATAATGTTTATTACAAAAAAGTTTAACAATTTTTTTGTATCCTCACACTAGGATTCCCTGTGCAACAGTTGCAACACAACTATTATTTCGTGAATAATGTTACGAGTCCCATCTACAAATGGGCTAGTCAATTTACCCATAAACTGGGCACAAGTTCTAGAGTCCATGCAATTTCTTATGTTGGAAACCCCAATAATAGTATGCCGATAATCACACTTGCAACTCATTTTCTAAAGTACTTTTACAAATTAACTCACCTTGGCAGTTTCTTATCTATATTCCATTGACCTAAACGATTAGCTACTTTCATATAACTGCCCATTAAAATCACATGTATAGTACCAGCTAAACAGTACAGATCAGTTTGATAAGTCCACGGCTTGCCTTCTCTCATTTCAGTACATGTAAAACCTTCTGTCGCTATCAGCTGTAATGAAAAAAATTTTTGTTTATTTTATTTATTTGGGAGAACCATTATTTATTCATTTGAATTTTAATTCAACATGATTATAGTAGTAGCATAATTTTATTTGTTTATCCAAATTAATTAATGTAATAGTATTTGTACTAATAGTATGAAACTGTAGCAAAAGTTCATAATTTTTGCATAATTTATCGACATTAACTATATTGGCTATAGACATAGAGAGAAATATGTTTCATTGAGGACACTACATAGTTCTGTGTTTTTGCTCTGGCGTTCAAAACGTTAGAGAAGAGCCAAATTAAAAGGACCCTTAACCGACGAACAATAATAAAAAAATGAATGACTGTTAATGAAGCGAAGTATGTATGTTTTATTTCAAAATCGCAATGTTGTCAGAAAGTTACCAACCTCCCTAAATGTAGTGCCTTCTGGAAACAGGGACATGTCAATAGCACAGCCAAGATCAATTAGCTGAAGGGATGGAGTTCGCCACTCCTGTGTAGGTCTGAAAATAAAATATATATTTAGCTTACTTCAGAGCAATGTCACATTTCATAAATTCTTAACCTCATGGCTTGGTGTTGTAATAAGGAATGAATACATAGTTTACTGCTATACTTACATTTTCATCAACAAAAAGTTGTCTGGCTTGATATCAGCATGAATGATCTGCGCTTTATGTAGATAGTGAATTATCGACAACATCTCTGATGTTAGTAAGATGACGATAAATTCATTTATACATTTTGAGGTAGCAGCTCTGATCTTGTTAGCGACGTCTAAGAGAGATCCGTATTTGGAATATTCTGACAAAAATAAGCTTGCATTGTCTCCTATGAAAGCTGTTGAGATATCCATGTATCCTGGAAGCTGTGTCAAAATATTAGAAAAATTGCTTTCGTAATCTAAACAACATTTATAGAAGGAATGTAGAATCTTACCATGAATGGATCCTTTATTCTTGCCTTTATTTCTTGGCAAATGTATAATTCCCAAGGCCGACTTGGCTTCTGATATTTAGCAGCAACTGATTTATTATTGTGTAAATCAAGGCAAAGAAAAACTGCACCATAATTTCCTTTGCCAAGTTGCTTGTCAATAGATAATTTACTATTTCCAACACTTATAACAGTCGCCAGTTGTACCTTAGGAATGCTTCTAACTTCAATATATCCATCTGCATGAGTTTTATTTGGGAATTTAACATAATCTAGTAAAGAACTCAGAAGCTTTTTACTAAATGGATCAATTAATGCTGGGAATTCAATATCAGCAGGTCTAGGTATGTCACTGGTTTCTACTAAGGAAATAGAATGAGTAGATTTAAATGCAGCACACTCCATGGAATTTTCACTATCCACATCCATACCATATCCATCAGATTGTAAATCAGATTGTCTAGAATAAACTCTAGAAATCCTGCTCTCTTTGGTCACAGAGTCTCTACTGTCTTCAGACTGAAATTCAACTCTGTGTTCGAAATCTAACTGCCTCTTAGAAATGTCTTTTTGTTTGTCGATAGCATGAGAGACCTTTGCAGACTGGATAGGTGTTCCTGTTTGTGCTGTCATTCCGTCTTTACTGTCAGAATCAGACATTCCTGATGAGGGAGGTATCTGTGCCTGTTCAGGGCTGGATACATACAAGTTTTTATGCATCTTTTGAGAAATGCTTGGGCTGTTTGTGAATTTAGGAGTATTAGCATTATCTTTGGGCTCATTCCGGTTCGAAATGAAGTTCAAATATTGGTTCGAAAAGCCAATATCTGGTGAGTTTTGGCCAATTTTCACTGGATTAGGTTGTTCATGTCTAATATTCCTCAGCGCGGATGTTGGACTCTTGTGCGAGTTATTGAATTGATTATGCATTTGGTAGCCTTGTTGGTTGTATGCTTGATTAGTAGGTGTAGGTGTAGATGCAGGTGCAGGTGCAGGTGCAGGTGCAGGTGCAGATGCTGGTGCTGGGCTAGGCCGACGATAGTATTGAGCATTTTGATACTGGGTCTGATGTGGAGGACTTTGGAAAACAGCAGACTGCTGGTGCTGGTGTTGTTGTTGTTGGAACTGGTGCTGTTGGAATTGCTGCTGCTGGTGCTGCTGCTGCTGGTGTTGTTGCTGTAACTGCTGATGTTGTTGCTGTTGCTGCAGTTGCTGTTGCTGTAGTTGCAGTTGTTGTTGTTGCAGTTGCTGTTGTTGCAGTTGCTGATGTTGTTGCTGTTGATGCTGCTGATGTTGCTGTTGGTGCTGCTGGTGTTGCTGTTGGTGCTGGTTCACATAAATATGTTGTCTTTCCGCCTGATTAGGATAGTGATAATCTTGACGAGCAGCATAATTTTGTTGAGGACTCATCATAGCATGTCCTGGACTATGGTAGCCTACTTGGTTAGAGTATGTTGGGCTCTGGAAACCAGGTGGAACATTCGAACCCATTGCATGAGGGCTTTGCATACCAGTATGCTGTGGACTCTGGTAAGCATTGGAACTAGGACTAGCATATCCTTGTTGAGGCTGCTGACTCATCATCTGATTATTAGAAAAGTTCTGCTGATAACTATAGTTCTGTTGATAACTATAGTTTTGTTGATAGTGTGCAGGCATAGACCGTTGCTGTGGTGAGTACCCATTATAGTTTTGTGGCATAGGCTTTTGATACTGATGGTCGTGCGACGGATAAGGCGCTGATGTGGACGGCGCAACATTTTTGTTTTCCGGTAATTCTCGTTTTTGAGGGTGCATCCTTGAAAACTGTCCATTTAGTAATCTAGGCTGAGAAGGCATAGAACTTCTTTTGGATGTTGTAGGTTGTTGTGATGGGTCGTTGTTATTGTACATGGAATCGTAGTTTGTTGTGTAAGCAGTAAAGTTGGTTCTTGTTGATTGCCCAGATGAACTAGAGCCCGATTTACTGAAATAAATGAAAGCTTTACTGTTTTTATTGTAACTTTAATTATAATCGATAAAGCCAGGGATA